GCTTGTGAATTATCTTACAGATTAATTTAAGGAACTTGCGAAGAAGCTGAAGAAAAACCTTGATGTAATACCTTCATCATCCAAGTCCAAGAGGTTTCTTTGCTCATAGTGTTTGCTTCCTTCAATTTGTTTTATTAGAACAGCTTTTGGCGAACGCCCTGCAGACAACTACTCGATTAATGTTTCCTGCATGGAGTTAGATGAATCCATCCAAGAAGATTTTGGCTCTACTCAACTTTCTGGTAAATACCGAGCCTTTGCGCCGGTACTGTAAGTTTTGAATTAAAAGTTGATTTTTATTTCATGGACTATTTTTGGATATTTTCTCTCCATCAAAAGGTAGTTTCTTATGCAGGCCATCGCCATCAAATGCTAGATATCAGTCGAGAACCGAGCGCGGTATCATCACTCAAGAGTCACAAGGCCAGCTATTTGTGAAAAACTCAGCTACAGGAGGTTCAATTAATGTTGAGATGCTTTCGCCGCTTCCTTCAGAGAAGTATGCTGTTGACAAGGCATCCAACATCATTGACGGTAACATATTTCCCTGAGTTATATGTACAACAAAGATTATTTTACTGCTTTAAGCAAAATTTGAGCGAATGGCAAGTTTCGCTGCCGCTTGTCGTGAAGCAAATGCTGAAATAAGTGTTTGGTCGATACCTGTTCCTGGCTCAACGGTAGGTGGGATACATTCATATATAATTTCATGATTGAACAAAGAAAGCTTAGGATTCGGAGTACGTTTACGGCGAGATTATCCATGATTTGTCCGAAGGCTCTCCAAGCGGCGATCAGACTTTGTCGCTTTTAATAGATGACGAAAATGGCACTGTGATTAAGCTAGATCTTAGCCGGCTGAGTGAAGTTAGCGTATTTCCTGGCCAGGTTAGCATGACATTTTTTTTTCTAAGCATCATTTTTCAAATGCCTTCAGCATTTTTATTTTTCTTCTTAAGTTGGTAGCCTACTTTGGCTCATTCGAGAATGGTGATCGTTATGTTGCTGCTAAACAACTTCACCCGGC